ATCGCCACGTATCAAATTATTAAAAAATATGTGACGCGTAGGGATTCCACGTGTTATTCTTCCATGTGTGGGAGTTCGATATGTTATATCGCAATGCGTAGAGTTCCCTCGCGTTATATCGCCACACGTAAGATTTCCACACGTTGTATTGCCAAGTGTGAGATTTCCATGTGTTGTATTGCCACGCGTGAGACTTGTATGCGTTATATCGCAATGCGTAGAGTTCCCACGTGTTATATCGCAATGCGTAGAGTTCCCTCGCGTTATATCGCCACGCGTGAGATTTCCGTGCGTTGTGTTGCCACGTGTGAGATTTCTATGCGTTGAATTGCCACGCGTGAGACTTGTGTGCATTATATCACAATGCGTAGAGTTCCCACGTGTTATATCGCAATGCGTAGAGTTCCTTCACGTTATATCGCCACGCGTGAGATTTCCGTGCGTTGTGTTGCCACGTGTGAGATTTCTATGCGTTGAATTGCCACGCGTGAGACTTGTGTGCGTTATATCGTAATGCGTAGAGTTCCCACGTGTTATATCGCAATGCGTAGAGTTCCCTCACGTTATATTGCCATGCGTGAGATTTCTATGCGTTGTGTTGCCACGTGTGAGATTTCTATGTTATGTCGCAATGCGTAGAGTTCCTACCAATTATATCGCAATGCGTACAGTTTCCTCGCATTATATCGCCACGAGTGAGATTTTGATGCGTTGTATCGTCGAATATGGGATTTCCACGCGTTGTGTCTCTAAATGTAAAATTTCCACGCATTTTGAAGTTCCACCAACCCCTGTGAAGTTCCCTCGCATTATATCGCCGTATCTGAAATTTTTACCCATCGCACCGCCACAAATTTCAACCTTGAAACTTCCTATCTCTCGTCCCACATTACCACTTCCCTAGCTAATAATTCTGAAATTCTAAAATTCTCTTCACATTTTCCATCACTTATTCAAGAGCACTCAATTTGCAATAATTGCCCCCCGCGGCGTTCAACGCGCCTAATACATAAATTCAACGGCGGTTGCCGCACGAAGTGTTGAGTTAACACGTGGTTCTGCCATGAAATCGAGAGTAAACAGTCGATTTCGTTAGAAGTGCAAGTTTTTGTCGAGCTTCGCGTGCACGGGACGATTATCGAAAGAAGTTCAACATGCAACCGGAAGTCGATCGCTCCGCGTTGCACACGTGTTGCGTGTTAGTGGCCGTAGTTTCTCGTTAGCGCAAAAGCGGTGAACTATGTAACTCCGTTTCGATATGTAGAGAAAAATATCTGGCGTGAAAGTAAGAATGGAATTTGTCCAGTTGGCTCTTCGGATCGTTATATCCGTTGAAAAACGAATCATTACATCCGTTGGTTATTTCTTGGACATGGAGCAACATACATAGACAGACGTATAAAGACTCTAGAAATATGGTCTAGGGATATGCACTAGGAATATGGAGATATTGAGATTTGCAGATGTAGAAAAATGGGAGTATAACAATTTTCTAGTAAAGAGATCTGAGAGATACTGATCTAAGGGGTGTTGGAATCTGGCGATATAGGAACCTAGGGATATAGAGGTCTAGGGATATGGGAATTTAGAAATATAGAAGTTTTGGGATATAGGAGTTTGGAAACATAGAAATTTGGGAATGAAGGGATCTGGGGATATACAGATCTGGGGATACAGGGATTTGGGAATATTGCAATCTAGGGATATAGGGATTTAGGGATATTGGGATTTAGGGATATTGGGATTTAGGGATATTGGGATTTAGGGATATTGGGATTTAGGGATATTGGGATTTAGGGATATTGGGATTTAGGGATATTGGGATTTAGGGATATTGGGATTTAGGGATATTGGGATTTAGGGATATTGGGATTTAGGGATATTGGGATTTAGGGATATTGGGATTTAGGGATATTGGGATTTAGGGATATTGGGATTTAGGGATATTGGGATTTAGGGATATTGGGATTTAGGGATATTGGGATTTAGGGATATTGGGATTTAGGGATATTGGGATTTAGGGATATTGGGATTTAGGGATATTGGGATTTAGGGATATTGGGATTTAGGGATATTGGGATTTAGGGATATTGGGATTTAGGGATATTGGGATTTAGGGATATTGGGATTTAGGGATATTGGGATTTAGGGATATTGGGATTTAGGGATATTGGGATTTAGGGATATTGGGATTTAGGGATATTGGGATTTAGGGATATTGGGATTTAGGGATATTGGGATTTAGGGATATTGGGATTTAGGGATATTGGGATTTAGGGATATTGGGATTTAGGGATATTGGGATTTAGGAGGGATATTGGGATTCATTTAGGGATATTGGGATTTAGGGATATTGGGATTTAGGGATATTGGGATTTAGGGATATTGGGATTTAGGGATATTGGGATTTAGGGATATTGGGATTTAGGGATATTGGGATTTAGGGATATTGGGATTTAGGGATATTGGGATTTAGGGATATTGGGATTTAGGGATATTGGGATTTAGGGATATTGGGATTCAGGGATATTGGGATTTAGGGATATTGGGATTTAGGTATCTAGGGATTTAGGGATATTGGGGTCTAGGTATCTGGGGATTTAGGGATATTGTGATCTAGGTATCTAGGCATTTAAAGATATTGGGTTCTAAAAATGTTGGGATCTAGGAATACTGGGATCTAGGGATATTGGGATCTAGGAATACAGGGATCTAGGGATATTTGGAACTAGGGATATTGGAATCTAGAGATATTGAGATCTAGGGATATAGGGATCAGAGGAGATAAGGATTTGGGGATATAGGGATGTGGGATTTTAGTAATTTGGGTCATAGGGATTTGGAAATGTGGAAATCTAAAAATAGAGAAACTTGCGGATGTAGTCACTTGGGAGTGTATAATACTCTTGCTAGATTAGGTTATTGTTAGGTTAGCTATAGTACTAGTGTTAGGTTAGCTATAGTACTATTGTTAGGTTAACTATAGTACTCTTACTAGGTTAGGTTATTGTTAGGTTAGCTATACTACTATTGTTAGGTTAACTATAGTACTCTTGCTAGGTTAGGTTATTGTTAGGTTAGCTATAGTACTCCTGTTAGGTTAGGTTATTGTTAGGTTAGCTATAGTACTATTGTTAGGTTAGATTATTGTTAGGTTAGCTACAGTACTATTGTTAAGTCAGGTTATTGTTAAACTAGCTATGGTACTCTTGTCAGGTTAGGCTATTGTTAGGTTAGCTATAATACTATTGTGAGGTTAGGTTATAGCACTAAATATAGATATAGTATCATTAACGTCTATGGACATAGTTTAAAGATACTACATACATAAAAATCCAAGGACATCTACTACATGTGAACCTAATCTATAAAATATTATAGACCTATAAAACTAACAGTGATACTACATACCACGAACAAAAGGTACGCATCTCTGAAACCAACATAAGCAAATAAAAATTTGCCGCGAAATATATGTCGGAGTTTGCATATCGATATCTGTCAAGTTGCATGAAAAGTTTCATAGGAGGTGTCGATTTCCGTGCCGTTCAACGTGTTACGGACTAGCGTTTTTGTTAAACAATGCAGTGGCACACAAGCGGCGGTATTCTTTTTCCCATAGTTTTTGTGTCATTTCAGTTGACAACTTTCGCAACGTACGCGATCAAAAAAAAGGAAAGAACTGCGAGAGAGAGCGTGAAACCGTGAATTTTTCGCAACTTGCACTAACGATTTTTAGCATCGATTAAAATGGTTTGTCACGTGGCTTATTAAATGAAAATAAAACGTTGTATTTTTTGCTCAAACTTGTCTGTCGTACTCGCTTTCTATTTTTTTAATTAAATTTAATTTCAAACTTGTCACGGTGTTTTAGTATAAACAATAGAGAATTACAAAATTAAAGTAACTAACACAGGAAAAGATTATAGTAAAACTTGATATGGAACTTGATATACTTGTATCTTTGTATTTATACTCGTACAGAATCATTTACCAAATTGCGCGAAATTGTAGTAAATTACCTCTTCATTCATGTTTGATCGATTACACGTTTTAGATACATTATGAAAATGAGAATGATACACTCTGATGAATACAGTTGATACCTATGTAAAAGAACTGATCGCAGGCCTGGAAAGAAAATTGCTTCGCGGTTGCGGTTAAAAGCGTAATCTGAAAAAATTCTGAAGAAAATGGAGGGAAAGTGCAAATACTTTGTAGCAAATTACCTTTACAATCTATAGCAGTTTATGATAAAGGTCAATTTTGATTTGTTGGGTTTTATTTTGTAATTAGAATTGCTCTTATTATATGAAGTTTAGATAGACATGTATAGATATATTTAGATGTAGTTTATATACACATGTGTGTATGACACATATATGTACTTTAATATTATAGTGCAAATTTATAGAGGATTGATAATGTTTGATTTTTGGATAGTAGAATTATAAATATTATCTTATGAATTATGTTTTAGGAATGTGGGAAAGTGGAGGAGGATTGTAATCCTTGATGTGTTAGGAATATATGTCTTCATATACACATATGTGTAGAACACATACACATATTCGATATTATAGTACAAACTGACAAACACACAATTAATATTTGATTTTCAAGTAATAGAACTATAATTATCTTCAACTTATGAACTATGTTTCAGAAATATGGAAATGTGGACAAGGATTCTAACCCTTGATGTATTAGGAACATATGTGTCCATATGCACATATGTGCACAACACATATACGTATTTTGATTTTCATACAGTAGTCTTATAAATATCTTGCTCTTATGAATTATGTTTCAGAAATATGAGAAAGTGGACAAGGATTGTAATCCTTGATGTATTAGGAACATATGTCTCCATATGCACACATATGTATAACACACACACCTATTTCTATACTATAACCCACATTGCCAAACACAAAATTAATATTTAATTTTCAAGACATAAAACCATAAATATCTTAATCCTCCAAATTTTGTTTCAGAAAATGGAAAAAAGGACGTGGACAAGTATCCTAATCCTCGCTGTCTTAATACTACAAGAAGCAAATGGAAAAAATATTACACGACGTGATAAGAGATTTTCCAAAAATTCAGGTAAAATTCTTAATACAAAAGTTCCTTCTACTAACAAGTTCATTACAAAATTTTCTAATCGCTTACAAAAATATAAAGTGAGGTTATGCACCCTTTTTTCTTGACCTACATACCAGCCTACAAAAATCTAACGTTCCTTGAGAGGTAAAAAGTATTACTCACGATCGTAAATTGATACTGTTGCAATTTTGTCGTGAGATTTTATTGTTGCTTTCAAGTGTTTCGAATAAAAATTTATTTCTTCCATTGTGGACAGGAATTTTTATGGACACGTTGTGCTTGAACATTTATTTTTTTTTTTCAAGCTAAATAATGAACAATTTTTAATTTTACAATTTTTGATTAATCAATTTTTAATCAGTGAGTTCAATTTTTAAATATTGTTGAGTTTAAAGAGTAATAAACAACTTTTAACTTGTAAGTTTAATTTTTAAATATTAGTGGGTTTAACAAATTATGGCAAATTTACAAGAACCGTAATATCAACATAAAAAAATTAATAAATTATTAATAATCATGTTACGCAGGTGTACTTAACCTGTGACTACCATCTTCAGTTTTAACACTAGGTTTAAAGACGTCTGAGATACAGTTGCTTTTGCATTAAAAATAAAGCCCAATAAATATATAAAAGATGAAAAAGTAATAAATTAACTTATTACACCTCATCTCTATAACAATAAATCTAAAAGTGCTTTAATAATTTCTGTAACGTAAGTCTTACGTCGTAAGATGAGTCTAAGCCGCCATTTTGTCAAGACGCTACATAAACCGTGTTCGTAAACGCACTCATAAATAGCCCTAAATTTGATCGAATCAAACAATGTCTTCCCACTATCCTTACAAAGCATTCTACACAAAAACCATACATTCTTAACTTCCGATCACTTCCGGCAGCAACAGGAAGGTAAAGATCAATAATGCAGTTAAGCAGCTGAGCATTCCAGAAAGAGTTGAATGCGTTTTTATAAAATAATCGGTTCCTACTTTCTCGAACGGTAATTAAACAGTCGGCTGGGACAAGAGACCCAAATAAAAAGGGAAGCGAGTATTGCATTATAAAGTACCTAGGTGTTCCTGCTTTCTCGATTGCTGGTCAAAGCGTTGATAATCAATGCAAGGGACAGCGATACGAAACGAAAGAAACTAGGACAACGAGTTACTTGTGCAACAAGTGCATTCGATATTGCACGTTCCGTTTTCGACAGAAATTCCATGATTTCACGATTTAATCCGTCGGTTTAGCATTTTAGCGAGTAAGGGGACAGTGATTTTATGTGAGAAAATGGGGAATTATGTTTTTTAGTTTTTAGTTACCTCGAACCCCGGGGTTTTTCTGATGACGTGACAAGTTAATGGTGAATGGATAATGTTGCTATAGATTTTCATTAAAAATAAGTGGGGTTTGGGTCGAAAAACTTAGTGAGAAACGTTCACTGACGAGTTTTATATTTAATTTGAGGTACATGGTTTCAATAGACATTTGATGGATGCAATAGTGTGGTTATAATATTTAAGGCAAGTTTGTATACTTCAAATTTCTGAGTATTCGTTTTGAATTTTCACTTTCAAATTTTATAATTTTGAGATTTTCAAGATTTTTAGATTTTTAAATATTCAAATTTTGTCTATTTGCCTAAATCCCTAGATCTCAAATTTTTGGACTTCTAAATCCTTAGGTTCTCAAATACCTACGTCTATAATTCCCTAGATTCTCAAATTTCTAGATTCTGGAATACCTACTTTCGTAATTGCCTAGATTTTCAAATACCTACCTCCATAGTTCCTCGATTCTCAAACATCTACGTCCATAATTCCCTAGATTCTCAAATACCTACGTTCATAATTCCCTAGATTCTCAAATACCTACGTCTTCAAATTCCTAGATTTCTAAATTTCAACGACTTCAAATTCACATGATCCCAAATCCCTACGTCTCCAAATTTCTAGACCTCCAAGTCCCTAATTCCGCAACAAGTTTCTGGACTCCTAAATCCCTAGATTCTCAAATACCTGGATCTACAAATCCCTAGATGCTCAAATACCCATGTCCTCAAATCCCCAGATTCCCAAATCTCAAAGTCCTCAAATAATCGCAAATCTCTACTTTCCCAAATTTCTGGATCTCCAAGTCGCTAACTCCCCAAATGTCTAAACTCCAAAATACCTAGATTCTCACATACCTACATCCATAAATACCTAGATGCTGAAATACCCACGTCCCCACATCCCTAGATTCCTAGAATCTCAAAGACTCCAAATAATCCCAAATTCCTACCTCCCCAAGTAATTAGACCTCTAAGTTCATAGATCCTCAAATTTCAAAGATCCCTAAGTTCCTAGATTCTCAAATACCTGGGTCTACAAATCCCTAGATGCTCAAGTGTCTCCGTCCTCAAATTTCTAGATTCCCAAATCTCAAACTCCTCAAATAATCCCAAATCCCTACCTCCCCAAATTTCTAGACCTGCAAGTCCATACCTCTCCAAATTACCAAACATCCCTAAATCCCTTCCAAATTCCAATATCACCAGATTGTTAACTCATCTCCAAGTATTAAAATAGCCAAAAATGCTTCAAAATAACTGACTACTAATTCCTCTACCCTGTAACTACCACACTACCACTACCACTACCACATTTTCCCTAGAGAAGCAAAATTTGTTGATCATTAGCTGTTAGTCTACGTAGATAAAGCTTGATAGATTAGTCGCATCTTCACCGACTAATCCAAGGAACTGCGCGTTGCAAGTTCCCTAGAGCTCCGCATCGGAGGTCGACCAGATAAGATCTGTCGTTGGTGTAACATTTATCGTTCCGACCGAAAGCAGTGAAAGGCATCAGCCGGCGAATAACGAGCCTGTTTCATGATCTATTACGTCGACATTGGATCATGATCGTCCGTGGAGAACGTGGTCGATGCAATCTGCAATCGCATAAAAATACATCGATATCTAACTAACACCAGATATTGGTCCTTTTCCATGGGAAAATCTCAACGTTGTTGCACGAGAACAATGTTGCGTGTGACGTCAAATGCACGATTAGATACTTTTACCATCTTACGCATCGATCACTATCGTTCCGGGTAAACGTGAGGCAAATGAATAAGCGGATTGAAACGCATGGCTAGATTGAGATACGTTCACGCTGAAAAGTGGACTGGGTTATTGCGAAACTTTATTTTGATAATGTTTATCTAATACCAGATATGCGTAAATGGTACGTTTCGACATGTAGAAAGTTTGACGGGTTCGATGATATAGGCGGAGTATGACACGTCAGCCCTTTCGCTTATGGTGAACTCGTAACGCACGTTCGGGTGCAAGATATTTGCAGCAAGTTTCTGGCTGGAGTTTTATATTAATTTGCATAGTCAAGGATTTCTAAGTCTAAAGTACATGGAGTTGTTCAAATGTTGAAAGATGTCTGATGTTTTTATATTGCAAGGAAGTGAAGGAACTTACGTTCATAATTCCCTAGATTCTCAAATACTTACGTCTCCAAATCCTAACGACTTCAAATTCACATGATCCCAAATCCCTAAGAGCGAAGGAGTGTAAGGGACTAAGGGGGTGAAATTTAACATGGGGTGGAGACGTAATGGGAACTCTTTTTTTTTAGGAAACAAGGATAAGTTCTCGGATTTGGAAGGATCGGAGACTACATACGGTTTCAGTAATTTGAACGACTTTAGAAGCACATACACCCCTTTCTCGTATCAACCCACTGGATACTCGCCATTTTCGTACCATGGGTATGTATAGAAAATTAGGTTAGCTCTGTGAAATTAAGAAGTTATACTGTGAAACTAAGTGTTATTTGATCATCTGAAACGTTTATGTAATTATAACTTGACTAATTATGAGTAGTAGCTATGAGTAGTCATGAATGACTATGTAACTGAATGTGACTGAAGTAAAATCTGGATGTGATTGAAGTGACATCTGGATGTGACTAAAGTGACAATGCAATAAATTCACAATTTTTAAATTGTTTCCTAAAGACGATCCTCCATTTTAAAACTGTGAAATTACATCTCTGACGCAGCTATGAAATCAGAAATAAAATAGCAAACTAAATTGACAATTTTTAAACTGTTTCTTAAAGACGATCCTCCATTTTAAAACTGTGAAATTACATCTCTGACACAGCTATGAAATCAGAAAGAAAATAGCAAACTAAATTGATAATTTTTAAACTGTTTCTTAAAGACGATCCTCCATTTTGAAACTGTGAAATTACATCTCTGACACAGCTATAAAATCTCAAATAAAATAAGCAAAATAACCACATAAAAATATCAAAATAAATAAATAGACAAGTATCAGCAAATGTGTACATTAGAGATTTTGTTCTTTACATAAAAATCAACAATGATTTCAAGCAAACAATAAATTTGTAATTTAATATAAAAAACGCGTGAAATATACTAAAGTACTATTACTATTACTATAATTAGTAATTACTATTACTATTACTATAATTAGTAATTACTATTACTATTACTATACAGTACTATTACTATTACTATAACTAGTAATTACTATTACTATTACTATACAGTACTATTACTATTACTATAATTAGTAATTACTATTACTATTAAATTACTATTACTATTACTATTACTATTACTATACAGTACTATTACTATTACTATAAAGTACTATTACTATTACTATAATTACTATTATTACAATGCTAAGTAATTATAAACGTAAGTGAACTCGTAATTCCAAAAATTGTTAAAGGTTTTCATACGGCTCCCTGCCGTACAGCACAAATTACGACGTCCATCGTGAGATCTCGTGCGGCGACACATTCCCGCGTAATTGCGGAAAATCGAGATATCGAACGTTCGATGGTTCGTGCAACAATCTTCACAATCCTACATGGGGTATGGCGAACACCAGATACGGACGACTTCTACCAGCGAATTATGGAGACGGTAAGAATATAAACATCTGTTTATCGATAGAAAATTGTTGATGCTTTCTCTATAATTCTAACTTTCCAATAAAGTAGAATATAAAAGGGTAATAAATTCTGTAAGTTCCGAGTTATTACCGGCTGGGAAAACTAATGAAGAATTTTCACTGATATTTTGTCATTTTTATGACTTTATTTCTTAGATTGCTTCCCGTCAGGTTGAAATTACGTTTCTTTTTTTGTCGTTGAATATTCATTTTCAGATGACCAGGAAATTATTATAAACTTTTGTGTGCTGTTGTTTTTCATTATAGAACTTGCAATATTTTTTTTATAATAAAACACACAGTATTTATTATAATATATGACATATATTTATTCATAGAATATTTATTATAATGAAACATACATTATAATTGTAATATGTTGCAATTAACATATGCACCATGTAACATGTGCTCTAAAACATACTAAAAAATGTGACCTAAGAATTCATGTCAAGATCTAAATTTACAATAAAAATATTACAAATAAAATAAAATTTATAAATATTACACAATAGAAGATTTATAAATATTACACAATAGAAGATTTATAAATATTACACAAAAGAAGATTTATAAATATTAAACAAAAGAAGAAAATTCATAAATATTATACAATACACCAGTCACAATATGTAGCTCCTGCAAGAATGTTTAACACCCGGCTTGTTTTACTTCAGCCATTTTTCTGGTGCTTTCATCGGTTGACAAACAAAAACTACTTCCGCCATGGATACAAAATACACAGCACATAACTTTCACTGTTTGTGGACTGAATGGTTAAACGGTTCCAAACTTCTTTCAATGTTTTGTTCAACTGTCACAAATAAGTGTGCACAAAAATGCTCTCCATAAACGTCCGACGATTTCTCTTGATTAACATCATAAGTACGCCAACAAAAGATTCTGAAGGTGGTTACTTTCTAGTGTCGTTTTGTATTTATTATTAATAGAACTGCTGAGATTAATAGGTTGAAATTTTATTTAGATAAAACTTTTATTTAAGTGTATTTTTAATAAAAATAAAATTACAATTTTGGTTAATTGTGCAAAATTTAATGAAAGATGAAATATACAAATTATGTGATAAATAATACAACATACAAATATACAAATTTGACAAATAATACAATATACAAATATACAAATTTGACAAATAAACAAGTCATCAGATCAACATACAAATCTGATAAATAACTAAATCATCAAATCAACATAAAGATCAGATAAATAAACAAATGATCAGACAAAAATTAAAAATTGAAAAGATTGAAATCTCGTCGAAAATCGAATTCAACTTCAATCACGAAAAGAAATTGGAAAATTTCGACAGGAATGTTTTCCCGGAACAGTTGCGGGAGCAAAAGAATTTTTTCATCTCGTGAAAAAATTCGATTTCACGCGAGTTACGCGTTTCTGTGGCCGAATAATCGGAACGTCATCGCATTTTCGATTGATCGACGAAATTCCTTTCAATTTGCGTGCACTGTTTCGAGGCATCGACAGATATATTTTTTTCGGAACGTCACGGTTCGTTAGGTTTTGTACGAATCAGTTTGAATCGTTTTGTGATGCAAAATCTGCGGTTTCTTCAATGATATTATGCTGTGATTAATGTCTGCACGTGTCTGAAGGTTACGGAATGAAGAATTACGAGCTTAGGATCTTGGACATTTGTGTCAAGAAAAACGAAAGTGGAATGTAATTATCTTGTTTTACATATCGAAACTTAGCTGTTAACAACATCGGTTTGAGGTAGTGATTATAATTTATAATGACGATGTTAATATTCATTAGTTGTATGTAAATGGGTTAATTAAATATAATAGCATTGACATTAAGTCAGTTTACGTTGAATTTTATTAAACAAACAAAAATTAGTAAATTGTGTTCCAATCACATGAAATTAATATTTAATTCGCAATTCACAATATTTAATGAAGATTCAGAAGAAGAAAATTATCTCATATTTAATAAACTTAATATTTAGTAACTTTGTAACATTGCATTACTAATATCTCTGAATGGTTACGGAACTCGTAAAACTACGTTGTTGCAGTTAATGTCCCTCGTGACAAATATCTACTTTCACAGAAACTTGTTTCGATTTCAAACGCAGGTGAGTGTGATTTATATGCTTACGTAGGAAACAGCTTGGCTTCCATTTTATAGACACAACAACATTGTACAAACACTCGTAAATATGCTGCGATCATTTTGTAACATTTCACGTGTTAGAAGATCAAATATTTCCCAACCGTATTAACCGTTCGAATCCTATAGGTGATAATAGCACTATAGATGCTATAGCATAATAGACAATTTCATAATTCATCAGTGAAGTGAAACAGATTTAATACTATTATGTTTTGAATAATTTATTTTATCACAAGTTTAAATTTCGATATAATTTGATATTTTTACAGTTTTATAGTGTAATTAGACTTGGGGGACTCTTTCAAATTCAAGTGAGTAATAATACACATCGCAGAACAGTGGCGCCCTCTCATTTTAGAATCCAGGATCGAATTTAATGGGTTAGGATCTCAGGTTAAACCATCTGCTCCATCAAAAGTAAAGTAGTGGCGTATTAAACCACTTGCTCCACAGAAAATGAACTATTCAGATAAAATTGATTATAGGTTAGTTCGCGATACAATATCGTACATTTATTTCTCCGTTAAAATTATTTCAATTTCACGTCTCAAGTTTCACGTTCGAAACCGGATATTTGTTTCGATAAGTGCATTTAACTGTTAGATAAACTTTTTGTTGGTACAGGAATCTCTCTAGGATACAATAAGCTGGTAGCAATATTGCAATATGTATTCATTTTATTTTAGTGTGAGTACGGCTACCGGCGAAGCTATTTCAGTGTGAGTACGGCTACCGACGAAGCACGTTACATACGCGTCTTCTTTATATTACCATCAAAGAGTAGATATAACAAGAGGCGATACAAGACAAGAAACCTCCTAGAGAGAGACAGAGGACCAATTTAAATGTCCAAATCAAAAGAATCGGGGGTGCATAGTGTAGAAGTATGGCGGTCCAAAGAATATTTTAAACCTGCATATTCACCAGTAATTTATTTGTAATAAATATTTTGTCATAACTCTATAACATTCATCTGTAATTTCTTGTGATGTATAGTATTTCATTTTCTTAGAAGTTATTTGTAATAATCATTTCCGTAATACATATTCTTCAAATATATTTTGTAGAGCAATCATTTTTATTCTTTTCTTTTTCAACTTGAAACGCTGTGAAATTGATAAGATACCTCAAAAGGCAATATCAGTATACAGAAAATTTATTAGAAATATATTCCAAATTATTGGAGATTGACATGAAAGTTTTGCTCAATTTAAATTTCCCGCTCATTTGTATAACCAATTTAAAGAGACGTTTTCGAGAGTTCAAAGGTGCCGAGAGTGTTGTCTCTGGTTTACTCTGCGACACGGTTACCAGTTTCGTATGGTAATGATAACCTTTATAATGGCATTTTTTATCGCGGCCAATTCATGGCGAAACCGTGCAAGAAAATAAAAGATTGGAAATACCAATGGAATGATGAATGGAACGTCGCACTTTATTATACAATACGTTCCTCCGTGACAAATAAGTTATGCAATTGTTGCGCTTTCTAGGGAACCAATTCCTGCTATTCACGCGAATTACGCGAAAGAATGCTTCCGGTTCTATCTCCATATATTCCACATTCGGTAGCAATTGGAAAAACTAGGCCTCCCATGAGGCCTCGTGCACCTGCACTTATTATTAAGTATGCTCACGTTCTAATAGAGTCTTCTTATTTCCTCAAGATACTTTTTTCAGCTTAATATTTTATGGATACCGAAATAATTGTTTGATCTGCACAGGTATTAGATCACCGACGATTTCAGTGACTGGAAGCGAATTACCTCTGTCTCGAATGGTCAGCTACACCCTATTTCCACATGTCGACTTTAACGATCCAATATGGACGCTGGCAGCAATGCAATGGGGCCAAATTATTACTCACGACATGGGCCTGATCGACGGAACCACCCAGTCAAGTAAAACTATTTCCACTCTTCACTTATTGTAATATTCTACAACTTCCTTTCTCTTCGTGACATTGCAAAACCTTAGCATTCAGGGCATTAGATACGTAGTTCGAATTTTACGCAATAGTCATGCTGGAGATACATATCTGTAAGTAGGGGTGAGTTGTATCTTTTGCAAATATTACCAACTGCTATCAACTGAGTTGCAAAGTGAACTCATAAATTAGTGGCATGAAACCAGTTTGCTTTGCAACTTTCATATCTGTGTATTTGTTCATAAAAACTGGTTTGCATTGCAAAAACGACTTAATTTCATATTTCCAGCAACTGGGTATTTTGTGAACTATTATGAACATAATTGCATCTGCTTAGTAGCTGTTTAAAAGAAAGTTGTCTAACATCAACAAAAATTAAACTCTGTAGCTTACGTAAAGCTGCCATTAGTCTAAGTATAGAGTAATTTAAAAAAAAATAATCTAGTCATAATTTAAAAAAAATAATCTATTCATAATTTAAGAAAAAATAATCTAAATATAATTTAAGAAAAATAATCTAATCATAATTTAAGAAAAATAGTTTAATTTTTAATTTTGAGAATTCTCCTCCTAAAGTAAGTTAGAGAGTTGATTACATCTTTTTAATCGCAGAACCACACGCAACATCGTGCTGCACCAGCGATGGACAAGTAATAGACCCATCGCTGGTTTCCAACATGTGTTACCCTATGATTATTCCTTACGAGGACCCTGTCTTCAGCAAGGCCAACATAAGGTGTCTCAACTTCGTCCGTAGTACAACCGATCTTGACCGTGGCTGTTCCTCGCAATCCAAACCAGCAGAACAGGTTTGCTATTCCTCGCACTTGGTTACTTCACTCATTCATTTGTTGTTACCTCATCCACCGTGGCTTGAAAACCTGACAGATATCATGTTCACGCCGGACGTTACTCTGCATTTTGGATTGAGACTGGAGGTTATGATCTTGAGGAAGTTGCAGAATTATTTTGTGGGATGTAATTTTTACCATAACATTTAGATATTATTTAGAATCATCTTAATCTTGAAAATAAAGTAGTATGAATGTGGAACTCAAAGCTAAATTAATTATTCACACTTTTCAAGATTTGACCAAATCTTGTTATTTTTGAACGGCCATTTTGGTAGCACATCTGTTTACAAATGACATCTGGATGCTGTTCTTTCTCGAATTAGGAGCTAAATTGATCATGTCACCATCTACCTCCAGGCTCAACATTATAGAAACATAACAATATGTCTAGACTTGATATCTTGTTTCAATTTTACACCTTCTCTTTATTATCAGTTAAACACCGTGACACATCTCTTGGATCTGTCTCTGGTTTACGGATCCAGCGATCAAACGGCGGCTGGTTTACGAGCTGGAGTAGGTGGTCGTTTGAACGTAGACGTTCGACATGACAGAGAATGGCCACCGGCAGCGATGAACAAGAGTCAATCTTGTGAAAATATGGGCGATGAAGGAGTCTGTTATCAAGCTGGTAAGCTTTGACAAGTTTAAAACAAATCCTTTATTAACTCTTTTTTGAAGATTTCCTCATCACACATCTTTCATGAATTTTTCTGACAGTACATTTTTTTAATAGTTCATATTAACTGACTGACTTTTCTTTTGTTCTTCAATCAGAATGATTTGTAGTTAAATTAGACTTTTCTACATGTTTGATATATGTAGTGTGATGTCACATATGTATGTTGGATACGTGCAGTGTGATGTCACATATGTATATTTGATACATGCACTGTAATGCCACATATGTATGTTTGATATATGCAGTATGATGCCATATGTGTATGTTTGATATATGCAGTATGATGCCATACGTGTATGTCTGGTACATGCAATATGATGTCACATGTGTATGTTTGGTACATGCAGTGTGATGTACCATGTGTATGTTTGATACATGCAATGTGATGTCACATGTGTATGTTTAGTACATGCAGTGTAATCCTCCACATATATATTTGATACATGTAATATGATGCCACATGTGCATGATTAGTACATGCAGTGTAATCCTTCACATATATATTTGATACATGCAATGTGATGTCACATGTGTATGTTTAGTACATGCAGTGTAATCCTCCACATATATATTTGATACATGCAATGTGATGTCATATGTGTACAATTAGTACATATATGTACTAATGTACATATGTTTGGTACATTCAGTGTGATACCACATATGTACGCTTGATACAACGCAGTATCATACTGTATAAACTTGTATGTGACACCTGAAGCTATATGTGGAACTGTATACTCCACATGTTCCACGTGTTTTAATTAGCTACCAATTATTAATAGCTGTATGTACACTGCTGCAGGTGATACTCGGATCAACCAGAATACCCAGCTGACCGTTTTGCAGATCATACTACTTAGGGAGCATAATCGCGTCGCTGATGCTTTAGCTCACATAAATCCACACTGGACAGATGAAACTATTTACCAGGAGGCTCGACGAATTTTGATCGCGGAACACCAGCACATTTCGTATTACGAATGGCTGCCCATATTTTTGGGTAAAATACCCAATTTTATTCATACGTACTTCGTCATAATTCACTTTCTTCTTAACACATGTTCACTTATATATATTTGGATCAAAATATTTACTTGTACCGATTATTTTATATCGTCTACATTAACGTATTGAAACAAACTATTTTATTAGGTTTCGATGCGACGTATGGTAACAAGATTTTGTACAACACGAAAGATTTTGTGGACGACTACGATCCAAAAGTGAATCCAAGCACCATAAACGAACATTCGACAGCTGCCTTCAGATACTTTCATTCTCTCATTGCTGGCTATCTCAAGTAAGTCTAAGATCTTCACTTTTTATACGAATTGTAAATCCAAAGTCAAAAATGATCTTTGACATAATTAGGTGAACTAGACAAATAATTAGGAAAACTAGGCAAACAATTAGAGGCGCTAAGTAAATAATTAGGTGAGGTAAATAATTAAACTTACACGATGTTACATAATTTATTTACCACTTCCCATTTCTACAAAAACAGAACAAAGTCTGCTACTTACTATTGAAATATTCTTAAATAGTCGATTATGCAAATAATCAGATCAGGAATTATTTCATCAGTTCCGTAATTTCTTCAGCTTGGTGAATAAACATCGGTATTCCAATGGCGCTCTGAGGCTTAGCGACCATTTCAACAGACCGGAAATTATTGAACAAAATAACAATATGGATGATCTTACAAGGGGATTGTCTTATCAACCGCAAAAAGCCAGCGATCAATTTTTCGATGAAGAGGTATGAACATTAAACGTCATGTCCTAAACTATTCTCTCCTAATAATAAAAATCAGAAAATTATAGAAATTAAATTGATATTTTATTATAATTAACAGTTACAATGTAGAATTACAATTTTTAGTTACAATTTACAGTTGGACTTTCTAGTTGCAATTTATAATTGTAATTTACAATTGCAGTTTGCAGTCAAAATTTATAATAACAATTTACAGTTGGACTTTTTAGTTGCAATTTATAATTGCAATTTACAATTACACCTTGCAGCCACAATTTATAATTGCAATTTACAATTACACTTTGCAGTCACAATTTATGATTGCAATTTACAATTACACTTTGCAGCCAAAATTTATAATAACAATTTGCAGTTGGACTTTTTAGTTGCAATTTATAATTGCAATTTACAATTACACTTTGCAGCCACAATTTATAATAACAATTTAAAATTATGCTTCACAGTTATAATTTATAATAACAATTTAAAACTAGACTTTACAGTCGCAATTTGTAGTTGCAGTAACAACAATTCAGAACTAGACTTCACAATCGTAATTTACAGTCGCGATTAATAATTACAGTGCAACCACAAATAGTGACCGCAGTTAATAACAAATTGAAATTGCACTTTACAGCCACAATTTATGATTGCAATTAGCAATAATTACAATCATTGCTTAAATGTCTACCATTACGTACTTATCCCAATAACAGTCGTTCGCTAATTGCGTGCGACCGGGCTCTAACCCAGTAATTTCCTGGAAACTGTCGTTCACAGGACCGATATCTCGAGCACAACTTGTAACATACCTAAACTTTCGTCCATTCCAGATTACACAATACTTATTTAGAAACGGACAACCATTAGGCTCTGACCTCCGAGCAACTGACATTCAAAGGAACCGTGATCATGGCCTCGCATCCTACAACAGTTTCCGAGAACATTGCGGCTTACCCAGAGCGAAACACTTCTCCGACTTTACGGATTACATTTCTCCCTCGGTAAGTGAGCGTTCCATTTAAAATTGCTAATTAGCTTGCTCTGTTATGATATGCAAATATTTCAAAATCTAGCGACTCGATGTTTTAACCGTCTACGTTCTGCCTCCGGTCAGATTAACGCTTTTGAAATTTTAATCTTTCCCAAACTAGTGGATGTTTAGTTGTTTAGGACTCAATAATATTTGTAACGTGTTTGTATCGTAGAACGTGGAAAAACTGTCGGAGCTGTACGCCAGCCCCGACGACGTGGAAATAACTGTCGGGGGATCGTTGGAACAACATATACAAGGGACTTTGACGGGTCCTACGTTTTTGTGCATTATGGTTAGGCAATTTTACCAGACGAGAGTGGGGGATCGGTATTGGTACGAAAGGGGTGATCATGAATTTGGGTTCACTATAGGTAAATAATTTTTATTATTAATTAACATATTTTATTTAAGTATGAACACGAATTACAATTGAATATAGTAGTTTTTAGTATATTGTGTTACATCAAATATAGTGGATTTGTCAATATGTGCTTATGTATGTGTACATACATGCATATATGTACATACATGTTTATGTATATGTGTTTATGAATATATGTATAGGAACATATATGTGTGAATACATGTATAGGAACATACAGGGTGTTCGGCTACTGGTGGGCATAATTTCAGGGGGTGGTAGCTGGGGTGATTCTGAACAACTTTTTCCTTTACCAAAATGCTGGTTAAAGCTTAGTTTTTGAATTATTAATGAAAAACACTGACCAATCAGAGCGCGAGAATAGCGCGCGCTCAGATGCGAGAGCGACGGATGCAAGCGTGACGGTTGACCCTGGTCGTGAACAAACAAATCGCGCGATATCGGTAACATAGTTACCATCATCGGTAATATGTCAGCCGGTAAGTAGTTATAAAATTCACAACTATTAATAAGTATAAATTTATTAACGAAACTAATTGTATGGATTAAGCGAAAATAAAGGTAAAGATAAAGCGCAGTTTTTTTAGATAATTAAAAAAAATGACTATTTGTTTAACGAC